TTCCAACGGTTTCAGGACTGCCATCTGCTCTACGTATCAATCAGAATTCATATGCGGGTCGTTTCAAAACGTGTGTCCTCGAATACATTTTCAAAGAGAGTCAAATGCGGTACTTCAGTCTATCGAAACTATTCACAATTTTAAAATATTTACTGCTAGTACTTGATGCGCTCTCGTTTTCCAGAAATTTGCGTAAAAATCAGGGTGCGTCTTAGACACGATTGTGTCTCGGATTCACAGGTTAATTGCATTAATACTTTTAGCCATCACAATTTTCCGAACAAAAATCAATTCAGGAAATCGATTGAACAAATCCTTACAACTGTTTTCAGTTCAAGAGCTAGAATCTTGATTTCGATGGAAAGGTTTTGAGTAGGCTCGGGAATAATCAAAATTTGCCTCTGACTCATAGAAATGGAAGCTCGTCGTATCCTTGTATATTTATTCGGAAGTGAACGTGTTGTGGTCTCTAAGGCACCAAGAAAAGAGCTATGGTGTCTTATGTACATATTCGCGTAAATTCACATCATACCTGATTTTGTCTCATTTTGCCGGTGATTTTTCCCCTTTCGCATTCGGGAAGCGAACTTGATACAGCATATTTATATTGGCTTAGACAACGATGCATACATGAGGAGTTCCTAGAAAGAATATTATCGCTTGAAGGACGCACCGATTTCGAAATGCGGAATCCGTCGTCAGACCCGATGAACAGAATCAGATCACGAAATGTGTAAGCTATTCGATGTCTTTAGTTCTTTGTTTGATCAACTGCTCATATTTTTCAAAACCATATCGGGCAGCTCTGTATCGTACGGGTTTTCTGTTTTATTCATAAGGGTGGCACCGCGCACGAGCGCCATGATAATGGTTCATCGGGCCCCTTTAATAAAGTTACTTTTGGACTCGGGCGCGTTTTGCCGAGTCCGGTAATTTTCGAGCGCGGTTCAGTTGGTCGGCAATTGCGTACTTCGCCGCCGCCAACTACTACCCGCGTTCCGAATCTCCTCCTCCTCTTCTGGTTTCAAACTTTCGCTTCTAACGTTTAATTTGGCTGGAAAAGCCAGGGGCAATGAAGTTTTGTTGCCGGACGTGCAGGTTTCGTAATGAAAAAAAAAAAACTACGGGAAACATTGACTAAAAATGCTCCAGGTGCTCAGGCGGAAATTTCCTGAAAACAATCGGCTGTGTGCTGTTCAGGCGACGTTTCTGCTCCTGTAAGCAACATGAAATTATCCCAATCGTGTGAAAGATTCTTGGAATAACGTGAGACTATTTGACGGGGAAATTCGCGTTGCTTCTGAATCAGTATGGAGATATTCGGAAACGAAAGCAAGGGCTGCGGAACCCTTGGCCTCAAATATTGGAATAAACCCGTTCGGATATTTGTGGGCATTCAAGGGCTTTCTTTTATGTTTCCCGGAACGTATGTATTATATTGACTACTTTCGACACATGGCCCTGCTTCTACAACTACTGTACCTCTTGGTGGGAAAACTGCCGCCACTTTTCCCAGTTACTAGATGCACTAGTAACTAGTTCACATGGTTGACAATTTTCTTGACAATATTCCTCCTTTTTTCAGTATTCCACTGGTATTATTTATTCAGTCACCCGACTTCAAATAATGTACCACTGCAAAACTGTCACCGGTAAATGGCCATGTTTTGCGCAATTAATTTTTACCAGTGCAATTCAGTTATTTCCTGTGCTCATACGTGCTGTGTGAGTTTTGTCAGGTCCAAGCGGAGCATTTCTTACTTTTTCTGTCTTCAACTTGGATCCAACTTTGATATTTATTCCGGAATAATTTCCAGGGTGAGGTAAGATTATTGGGCGGTGGATGAATTGCGTCACACGGAATCGCCGGAAAGGCCCAACCGCGGCATCGTTTCATTATGAGCGATTCGTTGGTCGTCGCTGAAGAAATCGTCCCATGCGGGACCAAGCCACGAGCATCGTTCCTTCCCTTCATTCCTGCTAACTGCACACGAATGTTTGCCTTGGCTCGGGAAAGCGACAACGGGTGTCTCGGCGTTCTGGGCCGCTAATTGAAGCAATAATTGAAATAATTGCTATCCACATCTTTTTCTCCCCCTCGCCCGGATCACGACTGCTAACTGACCGCTCTCCGTCTCCCCCGGGACAATCGCGAAAAGGGCGGAGATCACTTGGTCCGTGATTTTTCGGCTTTTTCCCCTCCTGCACGCCGAGACGTCTCCTTCCTCCTCACTAAATGATACTCGCGATCCAGGGCTGTAATTATTATCCGATGATTTTTGCCTTTTCACGTTGCTCAATACCAGGCGCTTGGAGAATCGTTGTTCGCCGCGCTGTTTATTCTCCGGCCGTCCGGCTTCGTCAAAGAGAGGAAACGTGATGTGAAAAGTTGGTCCGGCGAAAACTGGTAGCGTCAGTTTGCCTGTACAGTAATTAGCGGATTTCCACAGATTCTTCAGAACACCAAAAGAGACCTGCACGGTTACACTCGATTTTCCGTCTTTTTCTCAGGAAAGGATCAGACTCTCGCATTAATTTTGCAGGTGAAACCCACCTGCTTGTGGAGAGTGTGGGACGAAATCCAAGATGAGCTCAGTCATCAATGATTAATGAATAACGAAAGCCTCATTTGTGCACCGAGGCTTTGTTTCCTCTTTCAGTTTACTTATAAAAAAGCATTGAATGTAAATCATGAGATTTAAAAAAAAACTCGACCTGCGTCAGCCTCCTTGCGAAGACTTTCCCCTTGTTTATCAATGAGACCTGCTATGGGATGGGGGAATGAATTGAGAGGCAAACACTGGTTACATCTTCAGAGTAGAACTTTCCGAAATGAATGAACTTCGATAAAGCTTTTATCGGGACACTGGATGAACCTTTAAAAGGTAGAGTAGCAGCCTCCGGCATATTGTGCTGTTGTTTTGTTTTTGTCGTAGTAAAATACGCGGAAGATCCTTTCAAAGGATGCATATGAATGAGAGACTTCTTCCATTCATCCTACTACATTACCGGAGTTTTTTTATTGCGTCAAAGGTCAACACATGTATTCACGTCATTCCCCCAGATGATGCAATGTCAGGCATATTAACCGCAAGACTAGGGTGGGTTTCGAGAATGAGTAAAATTGTTCTGCCTTTTCATGCCTTAGTTCATATTACTTCTCGATGCGGGAATAGGGGGTTGATTTTTTTTTAGATCGCGTTTCGTTCACTCGAAGAGGACCATGATTCTTTCTGGTTGATGTTATTGTGCGAGAAAGTGCATTCTTCGGAGATCGTGAAGAGTGGAATGCTTTTTTATTGAAGTCGATCGGTATTTTTGTGGCTCGCGAATGCGCTTAAGAAGCATGTCTGTGACGTAAATTTCGACACGGCGAAGGCCGTTGCGGATCCCGAGAAAACTGCTCAGCGTTACCAGAAACGGGGGAGACCTGGAAAACGCTGAGTCGCGAAATGGACGCAATGCTTCAAACTCGAAATCTTAGTGAAGATCACTACTTGCTCCGATTCGTGCAGAACAGCCCTCCTCTGACATATTACCGGGATCGATCAAACCCCTTTGATGCAGATTGCCAGCTATGCATTCGGTCGCTGGGTCGCAGTTTCGCGGTTTTGGGACGAGCAATGAGCGGTCCGTGCCATGCCATGAGTTCGAATGCACCCAGTTGACAAGGTTTTTTCCTTCTTCTCGGGTGGTGGGCGCAGTGATTGACGTGCCCGGGCTCGGAAGACTTCGAGTTTGTAAACTGATTTACCCGGGGAGAAGCGAAAGGGGGGAGAAGAGGTCGATCGCCACCCGGTGGCAAGACTTCGGGAGACACGGGTTCCATAAGAAATGGGTTCTGAGCACGCGAAGGGAAACGGCGAAACGCCGAAGCGTTTCCCAAAGCTGGAGATTTTCCCCCCGGATGGACGAAGGGATCGCCACCGCACATGAGAAATCGAGCCGGCTTTTGTTCGAACGGATCGGTTCCCGTGTCCGTGATAGCGATCCGCTAATTGCTTTAATGACAGTCTGTTGCCCTCCGAGTTTGTTGCCATCCACCGACGAGAGAGAGAGAGAGAAATGCCAACCCCGCGTGACAGGAACTAAGAGTCACTGAGCACGTTTCCGCATTGCGATTTTCAACTCGACCAGCTGAATTGTTTTTCGAAAGAAAAACATCATTTTGCCGCCATTTGTCTTTATTGACGTAGTACAGTACTTCATGGAGAATCCTTTCCCGAAGAATATATTGTGAAGGTATTGCCTGCGAAAAACTTACTAAAATCCCATCCGGAAGAATGAATAGAAAAACTGTTCGTTAATTTTCGGCAGGGGACAATAAAAAATATGATCATACTTTCTCGTTTAAAATGAAGAAGATTACAGGCTCTTGAACAATAAGTTCGAAGCGAGAGGTGAACTTACGGTTGAATAGCTTTAGTTGCATGATTTTGCATTGATTATTGTGATGTAGGTTGACTCCCCGTAAAATGATGACTATAGGACAAAAGTATTTTTTTTTTTCATGGAAATAATTATTTATAAAGAGATGACTTGTGCATTTAAAAAACTGCTAAGGACCTCGAGGGAATAATTGCTTCGACGAGAAAAAAACAAATGGTGGAGATTTTGTTCTCGCGAGACTCAATCTGTAAGAACATCTGAAAACAACGATACTGTACTCAGGTGTTCATCAGCGCAAGACAGTCAGGATTTTCTTTCCGCATGCATCAATAAACCTGGGCATTGGATTAACAGCACAAAAGTATCCGCAGGAAACCAACAAAATCTCTAAATTTCAATATGCGGCGTTCTTCTGGAGCGTCACAGCGCTAGATCACTCAAATGCAATGAAATCATAAATGGAGGCTCTTTCAGTCAAATGAAAATCCGCAGCAGTGGGCATATGATGCTTGATAGCAAATAAGTTTACGTATTGCTCTAAAAACAAAAATAGCCACGTTGAAACAGAATCCAGAAAATGTCGATACATATTGTACTCTTTTCTTCGGCGGATGCGTCAGAAGTCATGGCAATGGGGTCAATCGCAGGGACACGCATCCGAGGCAAATTTTACGTTGACTATTAATCCATGCGACGAATGCCGCGGACCCGAAGCGGGAGACAAATCGTCGCAGGCAACTGTGCTCTTGCTTCGCGCAGAGGTTAACTTCGTAGGAGAGAACCAGTTATTCGTCAGAAACACGGGTTGTCCCTACCTGCCTCCCGCGCGTTTTCTCGACCCGCTGGCTCTCCGTGGATTCCCGCAGCTTACCGGCTTGTTCCAGATTACTGTAATTCGGAACACGTGGTCAATGCGATGGCGACCGGGCCGGGTACTTGGCGCAATTCCCCCACCTGGTGCGTCGCCTGGATTCGCGGAAGATTTCCACGATCTTCGCGTCGATTCGGGCCGACGAGCAGGTGCGATGATTAATTTTTTTTTTGTCAGAACCTCGCATTTCTTAGTCTTGCTACACTATATTTCGTTTCGCATGCCTTTCAACACGCTACGAATCTTGGGAATTTGAGAATAACCCGGTGATGCTGAACGATTGATTCAACCGCTGGTGACACCTGTGCGACTGAAACGAAAACGCTTTCGGTGATTCACCTGAACTCATGAGGCCTTCGTTTTGCCTCGCACTGGGTTCATCTGCCTACGTTTTTTCATAACTAGAGCGAAGTTGCTCAACAATTTCGCTTCAAGGAACCCCTTCAACAGCCAATTTTCGTTGCGGGGCCCAGTTTGGAAATACTGTACAATAAGGCGGAGCCCCGCAGGCCTGTCGCGTGTCCTGAAGACTGAATTTTATCGCAAATTACCGAATAGCCATATACTCTTCGAGGGTCTTGACATGACATTGCACTCGAGTTTCTTTCGCTCATTTCCGCTAACTGAGGAGCCCCTGGTGCTTCGCGGAGAAAAATAAAACCGGTGATACTATGAACAAGGCTAGAGTACTGTATTCTGCTTTCCGGATTAGCACTCAGCTTTCGCAAGTTAAACCAATGACGATGTCCAACACTTGTTTTCTGTCGAACATGCTTCTGCGCCTGGAGGGAATGGAGATTTCTTTGTTGTCTCCAGAGTTGAGATGATCGCGCGGTTGCGATGCGGAGCGAGATGAGATGAGGGAAAGAAGAGGAAACTATTCATGTTCGGGATTTCCGGGAAGATATGAGTCGAGATACGTGTATCTCTTCATTGCGGCCGTTCTCGATGACGCACTCGAGAATCTTGTTGTCATTCATTTATTCAGAGCGAGATGAGACGCAATTAGCAGGTCGGAGGACGGAGAAATCTTTGCGCTCCGTTGAATTATGCATCCCGTCGCCCTAGAAACGATATCAGGGATGTCGCCTGGTCGAACGGGAATGGCGTAAGCCCAAACGAGGGCCTGATGGAACGATTGTTGATCACGGTACCAAGATGGCTCTCATCGCAGAGTTTCGGATTATGCCACGTAACACTCGACGCCTGACTCGACTTACTTTGCATGTTGGCCCCGGCTGGGCCCGACGCGATCTCAAGGATTCGTCCCATCCCGGACGTTTCCTTATTGTCCTCGGGTCGACTGAATAATGAGTGCCAATGAAGTTACTCGCTTAATAACGTTCTCAAGAGCAACATGTTCTGAGAAAGCCCATTCCACGGGTTTTCATTTCCGGTGTTTTCTCCCCGATAAATTCCGAAAACGGATGAACTCTAGACACCTGCTCTCACCTATAGTTTCGCCGCGTTTTAGTTTTACCTTCGGGAGCTTTCGAGCAACGGACAACCAGCCGGAGTCCAGAGTCAAACCATGACAATGCAACGGTTGATCGAAAAAATATCAATTTCCTCCACTGCACAATTCGTAATTTGAAGCATCTTCAATGTTAGTCTACTTCGACCAGAAATAGAAGAATTAAAATTATGGATCGAGATCGACATGATCAGGATCATAAAGTTTGCGAACAATTATGAGATTTCAAAAAAATTGATATTTTAAAATACGCTTTGGTAATTTTCGACATGGTAATTTTTTCTTGCGAAATGGTTAAACGGATCTAGTGCCAGCATGAATCAGCGGAGTTCAATTATATTACCTTGGAACATAATCAGAGCCAGTGACCAAATCGGTTCTGAGGTGTGATTTTCAACGACTTCAATTTTAAGAATGTATAGTACCAATTTAAATACACGACAGTATTTCCATACCATGTCACGGGTATCGGATCCTATCAGAGGTATGCAGGTTGAAGATCGTGTTGAAATTACTAAATTTTAATTTTTTTTAATCGCGAACACGCAAAAAGTTTATTAGATCACCTGACTGGCGGCTCTGTGCAACGAGCTGGAAAGTTCTAGCCTTAAAGAACCACTGCCTTCAAAAAGTTACGCCATTGTCCCCGGCTCTTGGTGTTGAAATGTCGTATTTTCCTTTCGACATGAAGTGAAATTTTGACGAGGAAAATGACTCGAGTTTTTGAGGGCACCGGTTCCACAGCGACAGCGCCACAAGACGCCTCACGATTGTGCCGAGCGCCGATCACATCGCCGAAGCCTGGCTCATTAATAATCGCTCGTTTCCCCGTTGAGTCCCCGCAGCCCTTCCTGCTGGTTGCCTGGGCTCTTCACGCGACGTTTCCGCGGGTGGCAGGCGGGTTTGTCCGATAATTGATCTCGCCGGAGCGGGAAAAAAAACTCTGGAGACCCTCGCCCGACTTTGGTTCCGAATCTATCTGCGACACCTCCAAGGCACTGTGGCATTACGCGACGCGGGACACAATCACTGTCACCTTGAACCGTCCGGCCTTCCATTATGAGAATAAAGACGACCAATTAAAGCCCAGGGGTCTGGGGATCCCCCTTTTTTCATGAGGGTTCCTTGTACTGCGCTGACCTACCCAAGAAGGCAATCCGGTTGAAGGAAATTCCGAGTCCGACTCCACTCACCTGCGAGGCTCCAAATTCCGCATTATTTCGAACTTCTGGTTTTCAAAATCCATTTGGAACTTGCGCACAGATGACGAATGGATCAAAAAGACGAAGAAACACTCGTGATGAATGGTTCTGTTCAAAATAAGCAGTTCCACCAATTTACCCCCAATTTCCCGGATCACTTCGTGGAGAAATTAATTCGTTTGCAACGTCAAATAGACATCAAAAAAGCAAATTTGAAGCAATAAAAAAATCGAATATTTTCTCTCTCCCCAACTTATATACTGCACCGAGTTTCGCAGGGATATCTGCTCTGACCCGAATGTATCTTCAGTCTACGTATACTTAGCTCTTCTTCAACAAAATTGGCATTGAAACAATCGAATCTTGAACCCATGGGTTCAACACCCATTGAACACCTGAATGCCAGGTTTCTAAGAATATAACAAAATATAGCACATTCATGCTTAACTAGTACAAATACAGTACTGCCTATTTTAGACTTGAAGTACACCATGTGACATTTCGAAGATCCTTTGCCAAGAAGTTGCAAAGAACAAAAAAAAAAGAAGAAACGCCCCCTCTCCTCAACAACATCGCATAGTTTTGTGCATGTTGGCACCAGCAAAAGTGATGACGCTTCTGTGCATTCATCCTTTTTCATTTTATTTTCAATTCTAATTTTTTCCACGTTCTCTGACCAAACCTGACGCATCCGGATGATGGTACGGGAGGTTAATACCATTCATAGGTGGAAGACAAGGCCCGTTAATACGGCGGGTTATTGAAATAAGGGGGGGGGGGCTTGTTTTCTGATTCCATACACGCCAAAGAATGATTCATGTTTGAATGTACTGTACAGTATCTCAAAACGGGAAAATCTCAACTTCAGGAATCCTGGCAATCGAAATCTCTCCCCAGTTCTTAATGGGAGAAATAATGCGACCTCGAATAAAAATTCAACTATGAAAAATTTAACTGAATGAAAGGATTTTTATTCTGCCCAGTCAATTGACCCCCTTTTAGCGCCCCTTGGTGGACAGATGCGCGAAATGCCGGGATTTCCAGATGCTCCCAAAACCATTCAAGAGGATTCTTTGGGTTGACACAAGATTTTTAATCGAATTTTTTTCTTCTTCCCTGTTTATTTTCCAGGTGCTGCAACGCGGAACCTGGAGGCTGCTTTCAGAAGCCGAGTTACGGATCTCTAGCATCACGAAGAAGTCGGAAGATGGAACCTTTTGCGAGTCGTGCGCGGGAAATGAGTAATTTTGTTTTTTGTTCGGAAAGAGGAGCAAGGGACCAATCGCGACTAACCATTCCTGGTCCTCGTTCGTTTTCTAAGAGTTGTTGTGCAACTGTCTTTCTTTTGCGGCAAGCAATTCGCATGAGAGAATGCTACTTTTAATCTGAATCACTCCGGGAACAGAAAACGGAAAGGTATAGGGAAAAAAACGCAAGGGTGTGAAAGGAGAAGTGCCATATGGAAATGATTCTCTCACACAAGAAAAGTTCGGGAAGAGCTCGTTAATTGGAGCAATAAGGTATACGTGGCCATGGAAAGGTATAACATTTCCTACTGAGTATTCGAGGCGCAAGTTCATTACCGGGATGTGTGGTTGTGGCTGTTGTGTAAATATCTGGTCATCGTGAGCCTAACGGAGTCCGCGCTTTTTTTTTTATTTATTGCGTTGCATTCCTTTTTTGTCAAGAGGTGATATAGAAGGTAATCAAAGGTTTGTCTTTCGTTGGGAGGTCTAGGTGATTGTGCGTGGTTGGGTTCCGTTTTGTAGCAGCTGCGTGATAGCCAGGCGGCAGCAGGAAAACTTCTGAGTCCGTCGTCCTGCGTTTCCGCCAATTGAGTGCCATTCGCGTTGTTTTCCGGCGGAGGGAAAGCACTTGTTTCCAATTCCTTGTAGACCTTGTTTTATTTGGTTTTTTCAGCGTGCTTGTTTTGCGGGAAATAATTTATGCCAGGTCTGTCCTGTTGGTTTATATTTTTTGTTATTGTTATGGGTCCCTGAGTTGAAGGCGACAAGGCGCCATGATCTATGTTACACTCCGTTCGCCATGATTCTAGGTTGGGTGGTTGGGACGCATCGGCGGAGATTATTGGGGCGCCGCTATCTGAACATATTATTCAAAGCATATGGGTACTAGTGTTGTGGAGTGTATTGGCTGTAGGGAAAATGACGCAGGGTCTTTAGTTGAGGATGTACAGCGGAATGGCGTCAGGGCTGGGATCAGTGTTGTTGTTGGGTGCCCTATGGATCCGCACGCGAGCGGGGTGTGGGGGCATCTGTGACTGCGATTTGTCCCTTTTTGTGTCATGAAATCTGCATATGAAGGGGGTGATTGAGTGGTTGGGGTGAGTGACAACATGATTTGCCAAACATTGTGTGGCTTCCTTGCCTGACATTTTATTGTCAGCGCGGTGACGGTATTTCACAAATCAACCACTACGGAAAGGAAAAGGTATAGATTGTAAAATTGTGACGGCAGAAAGAGTCTTTGTGCAATTTTTGGTTTGGCCCCTCTCGGTTTTCTCAAGTTTTTACGTGTGAAGGGCAAGCAGTGCGACTGCGCTGCTCCAGTGGCATTTTTGTCTGGGTTCCGTTCGGCTTCTTTCCTCTCGCGGGTCCGTTCAACCGTTGGTCAGCGGTAGACTTATTCTTGTATGACGGACACGATTTGTAGATTTGATGGGAAGCATTCCATTTGCTCCATTTTCGGCGAGCAGGGCTGCAGGCGTAACCCCCTGAACCCGAACGTACTGTAATGAAGTGTTTTGGAGGAAAACTTGTTGCGCTTTCGTGATGTTGTTCTTTGATGGTCATCACCTGGCGGACAACGCGTGCGATGTGGAAGGATATTATTGTCGTGTGGTTTCTTTGTTTTCGCAACCTCAAATATTCTCCGGAATTTTTTTGTAATATGCCACATAAAAATGCAGAGCATGTTGCGTTGTTTTTGAAGCCTTTTGTCATATTTCACTCTTATTGCGCGTCATTCGTCAAGTCGACCGTCTCCAGGGAAATCTCGTCTGGGCTCCGAGCCGTATCATTTGCGGCTGTGACTCAGCACGAGAATTAAATGAATTGAACTTCCAGGGGAGCCACGACTTTCCCTCCCCAAGGGTCTGCGCGAAGTCCTCTTGGAGCGTGATGAGCGGGCTGGGAGAAAATCTTGGCGCGGCCATCGCGACCCAACGCTTTGCTCTTTTAATTGGCCAATCCCAACTTTCCACCGGACCGTGTCCAATTCGCAGAATCGCTACTTGCTATTCAAGATTGCGTCCTGCTGCGGATCGCCGGAGGGCGGCCGCATTGAGCACCTAACCAATCATTCAACCCTCCATCAACTTCGTTGCCACCCACACGATCGTCGTTAATTGGCATTTAGTCCTCTCCTGATTACCGCATATTCCACCGCCTTCAAGAAAGAAACAAGAACACATCCCGGATGTCTTATCCTCGACTTCGGATTCCTTTTACTGAGGCATTGTGAACAATACTGCATTATTCAAACTTCTCTCCCGTCGCAACAGAGGCTAATGGAAGTCCTGTCCATTCACATTCACACTCGCGATACGCTTTGATGACTACCACGCTTGAAAGTATTTCACATTGCTTCCTCGCAAGTATCAAAATGCAGCGGGACTGCTGGAAGACTCGTTTTTGCAACGAATCGTGGCTACTGCCCTAAAAATATCCAGAAAAGCCTTGTGCAAATCTGTGCACCAGGTGGTTTGTGGATACCCGTCCAGCATCAAGTCAGTACCCAGTGTTTCGTCTGTACACCCCCACTTTTGCGCCGATCACCAATGCTGTGATAACCTGCTCCATTCGCGCAATTGGTATTTCCACTATAGTGGAGCAGTATTTCATTGGCCCCTTATTTTTGTCACGTGGGTTGAATCACACAGTTGCTTTTCATCTACCTCCAATGAGAAAGGAAGAAACTAAGTATGGATTCAGCATCAGAGTTGTCCACTCATCACCTGATCGAAGAAGACGTTAAGTACATGTACTGTAATTCCAGCTTTAAATGTATTTTTCCTGAGAAGCACAGTACCGTATTTTTATTATGATTTCTTCTGTAGTGATTTAACTGCCCTTAATGTGATTTTTTGGTTTCAATTTTGGGTGAGCTTTCGCAATGGGTGTACAGTACTTCATTCGATCAAGTTCTGTCATTGCACATCTTGTCAAGTAATGCAAAAATATGCTCGAGAAAAATACATTGCAAGGCAAACGTTTTCGACATTTACTGAATAGGCCATCTTGAAAGGAACTATCGCTTCTTTTAAAATTCAAGGCATGGTAATGAATGTTGAGAAATTAGTTTCAACTACTATTTGCATTTCTTCTTGTAGAATAGTTCGTGTCACAGCTTCTTCTAAAATTCAAGGCATGGTAATTTAGTGTATGTTGAGAATTTAGTTTAAACTACTGTTTGCATTTCTTCTCGTAGAATTGTTCGTGTTACTGATCAGCTGGACAGTAGGTGTTGGGTTCTGTTCTTTTTTGCCGGAGTTCTTGTAGATTTTTACAATTTGGTTTTGGTAATCGTTGAGGAAAACTTGAGAAGGATTTCATGGTTTCTGCAAGGTAAGAATGCAAGGTTCACGTGGAATGGTGGACGACGAAGGATGGAGTCCCAGCAGGGTTGAGCATACTTTTTGATCAGCGGCAGCGCGTCAAGCAGTTACCCTGGCCGGGTTGCCTTTAAATACATGCCGAGTGGCCGCACGTTGAAGGCAGTGATTTGGCAGAGCGGAGTATCGGCATCCAGCGCGGGTCAAATCCCCGATCGCAGGTCTACTCCTCGCGAGATCCGGGCTGGGCACGAAGCCCATAGGGCTCGGGATCGGATTACCGAGTCGGGTAACGCAACGCAGTCAGCTAATTCACAGTGCCGGTGCGCGGGCGATTGCTGCCCTGGCCGCGTTCGCCGGCGCTTAAGCCAATCATTAATCCCCGCGGCCAAAGTCAGCGTAATTTCCACATGCAATCACGGCGTGATGTATTCGGCGTTATGGAAATCTTGGCCAGCGCCGCGAGCAAGTGTGGGATTCATCGCACCTTGTTATTTCCGCCAGGTTCCGGAACAAACCTGGGATGAACAAAATTCTCGACGCTTGTTCATACCCGAGAAAGTTGAGACAGAGCGAGAAAAAAGTCAGAGAAAGAGAGAGAGCCAGACGGACAGATCACTTCACGGATGACGATGAAGATTGATTGATTCGATCCAGAAGAAAATATTTAGGTGTGAATCGCCGATCAGATTTTTTCCTCCGAGCCCTACATGAATATTTTCCCTAAATAAGCTAATCATCAAAAATACTGAACTGATTTCATGAATTTCAAATAACCGCTATTGCTTCGAAAGCTGAACGGTCTGCGCATAAATCAGTCCGAAATATCTTCTACGAATTCCGTTACGTCACGGATTTCACTCTCATCATGCGTCACGTTATTCTGGTTCTAACAATCTGGAACTTTGTTAACAATTCGCCGATTCCATGTTTTTCCTATTCATAAATAAAAAACGTTCCAGAATAGGTTCTCCGCGTTTCAACAGTGCGAACGAAGCACTCCTTGTATGATGGCATGCTATCGAAACACTTAAAAATGGAACGAAAAGAAACATCGACTTGAGGAGTTCGAAATGCGGGGTTCCGATAGAGGAAATATTTTAGGAATTTTCGGCACTAGGTCAGGAGAAAAGTTCTAAATTATTCTTGTACTGTTCGGTTAAATCTGGAAGATCATTTTAGCTGTGATGGGCTATCATAGCACCTATAAAATGGCATTCCCCTGCAGCTACTAAGAGTGTTTCTGAGGGTACACATAATCGCTCAATAATTCATCCATAAACGCAGTCGAAACATAGGAAAGGCTTCCAAGTGCTTTTGAAACTTGCTCATGATATTTTATTTTTAAGGGATCATAGTATGAATTCAACGCGGAAGGTCTTTCAAATATTTTGTTCGAATAGTGATGAACTCGTCCGACTCATTTTCGTCGGATTTCTTGCCACAGTGGAGGCAACGCCTTCGTTCAAAAATGGGGAATATCCGAGAATGCCATTTATAAATTTATTATTCTCTTGCAGTCAAGGGTTATAATCACGGAGTAGATTATACTGAAGCCATGGTAATTGCACAGACTGGGTGTGTATCAATGCTGCGCATGAAATGCAATACCGTGTGTTTTCCATGATTATTGTGTGACTGGAAAATTAGCTGCTCCACTACTAGGTGCTAGCAATGAATAGATAACACATTGCATCATTTATTTCTGCAAATTATGGTCGTAGAGTCGCGGTCGACCAACAGAACAAAAATATTATTTCCAAACACGAATTAGTTTCCATTGGTTCCTCTGATTCCTTGGTACTCGATGAAACAGGATTGTAATCATCAGCACAGAAAAGAATTGAAAAATAACCCGAGCCCCCTTCCGGATATAGCGTAAAAAACATGAAAAAGTGCGATTTTCTCTTGAAATACCAGAAAGGCGTTCCGAGATGAAACCACAACAGTTGATAATAAGTGGAACTAAAAAGATGCTTTCGTTCCACGTTTCAATTCTACTACAGTGAAATCTTGACATAACAAAGTTGGGCAAACAGAGCCATTTTTTATAAAAACATTTGTTAAGACATTACTGAAATGAACAGTTTTAAAGGTTGTTCGTTAATAAAAGGTTTTCACGTTCAGATCTACGGGTTTTTTCAGAATCAGCACTAATTTTCACTGTTGCGACAAAAATGGTTTTGTTTTTGAAATATATTCTCGGTAGCATCCCGTGACTGAATTCACTCAGAAGACATGGGATTCCATCATTTGCATTATCTGAGTATATGAAGAATGTCTCACAAACTCAAACCCTGCACATTGATCAGCAGTTTTTTCTCTCTCAGGAACTGATTTAATGCAGTCATCTGCATCACTTTCTCATATCTTAACCTGCCGGTTCTTCGTCTTGGTAACGTCACACTTGAGCATTGTTGAACATTATCTATTTCATCGGTGAAAAGTAGGTGGTCAACAGATGGAGGATAATAATTCAATTTCTGTTCCGCTGGGACCTGAGAAGACCTTCTAGCTATCGCATATACCAATTTGAAATGACAACGTAAAGCTGTATTCGCCCGAAGCAGGAGCATTCTCTTCAACTTAGCACAAAAACGCAAAAACAGCTTTTTCGCTACCGAACCCAGTGAATTCATTTCGATGGGATCTTTTCAAGCATTCGAGGTCCTGTATGAAATGTCTTATACAGTATGAATCTGAAAACAATTCTACTGTGAAGGAAACATCATGAAATGAAGCTTCATCAGTGTACTCATTCATGCTTGGAATTTTGTCCAGCTTTTGATAATGATGCGATTTTAGATGCAAGATAATAAAATATTTTCTCATGCTTCCCTTGGGGTGCGAATGATGTTCGAAGCAGTCGCGGACCGAATTCGCCATGTTTCTGATTCGCGGGATCTGGGGGACTCAGTTATGCCTAGCAGAATAGGGGGTTGGCACAGTATTAAACCCCTTTCAATCAGCCCAACGCCCCACTTATTTCCCATTCCATCTCGGAGGAGAGAAAACTTCGTTTCAATAATCGATTTGCGTGAAAGGCGAGCTTCACCAAGCTGCTGTGCTGCCATGGTTACTGGGGCGACAGACCCTGTGAGTCGAAGGGGGGAGGCGAGATCTCCACGAAATAAACCAGAGCAGGAGAAATAAACCAGAGCACGAACTCATACTTCATCCCCAACTTGAGCGAGCAATTTTTCCATTTCCTGAACAGGAGAAGTGCTTCAATCGAACCTCATCGGGCCCAAATTGAATTTCGCTTCAGAGTCCGATGAAGACGTCTGCCCCTGATTTCCCACCCGACGTGTTTTGTCAATTACTTTTCCCGGCGGTAATTCCCTACACCTTAATTGCTTCGACGCGGATCACAGGGGATGAACCAACTAGAATGGGTTCAAAGAAGAAAGTCCTTCCACGATTGCCTTCTTTCTGCAGAAGAGTCCCAAGATCCTTGCGACCGCGAAGGCAATCATTTTTCCTGAAGCTGCTGATTTCCCAAATGTCTTTGTGCCCCATGAACCTTTCTCCTCTGAAGTCACTCTTCCTGTTACAAATGTGACATGACAAAATTTCCGAAGCTTCGGATTGCTTAGTTGTGAAGTTCAATAAGCACTACAGAAGTTAGTTCAAGAATCTAAAATACGTTCACGTCGAGTTGGTCATGTGCAGTACATACATTGCAATAAACCGAATATTTTGAAAATTGGACGATTGGAACAGAGAAACAATACACTGAACTCATCTGGGAATGCCACAGTATGTGAATCAACAGTAAAATGGGGCTGCTCGCCTAATTTTATCCATGCGTTCCCCGCCTGGCCTTTGATTACCGTATACAGTTCTGCACTAGCAAGGAGCTACGATCACAGGAAAGGTTCATCTATGAATAAGAAACTGAAGTACAGTATTTGTAATTCATTAAACTCGTCAAAATGTAGGAGCCCCCAATACCCGAAATAAACACATGCACTGTACATTACAAGTCCAGAGGAAAAACATCATAGATCTGGGTTTCCGGTTTCGCGTGTCACTTATATAAGTGAAAAAACATCACACTAATCTGTTACGATGGACATGTACCAATCCAGCATGAGAATCTGACTGACTTACCTTGGAAGTACAGTACTCCTGGTGTAGTCACAGTACCCGGATAGTCGACTGTACATGATGAGGATCCGCTGGCCACACGTTGACTTCAGCTCATTTGCAGGAAGAAATTGGAAGAGACACTGCACTCATATCATGTCCACATCAAAGCATTTCGTCACTGGCATTCGCACACTTCCCCCGTACTTCGTGGATCTGCGGCAACCTTATTTTTCACACACTGAATTATGCGATGGTGTAAATGAGCGACTAGGAGTCGTAGCGACTCTCCATGACTGAACTCCTTCCAAGATATACAGTAGTTAGTAAATAGTTCGCAGTGAATGTTACCTCACACCTTTTCACAGATACGCGACTTCACGAATATTGTCTCAGAGGACATAACCTGGGTGCGTCCGTCAGACGTGGCGGCCTACTGATGCGCACGAATATCGCGTCAACCTTTGCTCTGATTGGCTGCCTGAAATGTTCGAAGGTGCAAGCTACTGGCGGCGACACCTTTTGATCAACGTGTTGTGGAAATTAAAATCGCCATTCTTCAACCTGCACTCTACTGCATGAGCATGACGTCAATACAGTACAGTATTTAAAAATGTCATCCAGCGTTTTTCACATTGATGATGATAATCTGCTGAGTGAATCAGTGAATGACTTGCATTAGGGCTGAAATACAGTATTAGCATGTGAGGTCATACCTTTGTCGAGCCATTCTGTATTTTCGTTCTCAGTTTATTTCTCTGAAGAAATCTGTTCCTGAGCAGGACATGATACAGCATTTTCGAAAGTCGAAAATAAAGTTCGTCCTAGTTCTGGAAAGTTGTTCAACAGATACGTAAAATGCAGTCAAGTACGTTTCTGTAGAATTAAAACAGTAGTGGTAGTCCCAGTGAAAATCACATGCATTAACTGATTGACAAAGAACTGCCAGTCCTGACCAAAATTATGCGTATATTCATGGGAGCTTCGTAATTCATTTATTTTTACTGAGCAGGTGGAATTGCTGTCAAATAAAAAATTCGGATCACTCCTGAAAAAAGTTTAAACTCGGGAGAAATTTGCATATGAAACTTGGGAAGCGAGGAATAAAGCTTGCTCTTGAGTTATCCAAGAAATTGGAACGCGTGACTATTTATGTAAAATGTATTCGATTCGCAGGTGAACTCTGAATTGGAAGAAATTGGGAGAATCGCGAGTTCTAAAGAGAACATCCTTATAGAGAATCTGCTTTTGCACTGGTGGAAGAATTTATAAGCCGAC